CAGCACTAGTGTTTATATATATATATATATATATATATATATATATATATATATATATATATATATATATTTGTATCACATCAATTGTATTTAATCCATAGATATTTTATGTGGTTGTAACTTTGTACAATTTACTTCATATGATTTCAAATGTGAACCTGCCAAACCACACCAAATAAAAAGAAAAAATAATTTTTTTTAAAAAAAAAAGTTAAAGAATGAAGAGACTTGTTACCTCACATAATAAGTCTGTTTGATACCACTAAACAGACCCCACATCTCAATTAACAGGTCTCTTATTCTTCTAAAATATTAATTTTATGACTTACATAACAGACCCGTTATCACTTACAACGGGTCTTTTTGTCCTAAAAAACAGACCCCCTTTAACAAACGGGTCTCTTTATCAAACAGACCCCTGAGCTAGAGACCCTTTGTAAGGCAGTCTCTCAAACATATTTCAACGGGTCTCTTTGCCAATTTTTGTAGTAGTGAGTAAAGGTTCTAAATTAATTTCAGCTTGTTTTAGAGGGTTTATGAGTGATTTAAAAAGTGTATATATTGCTGGAAATTTATATTGATAGCTATTAATGTCTATTTGTAATCACTACTACAAAGTTGGGCTTAAGTAACATCCATTGGTAACACTATACAAATTTCATGATTGTTTGATTTTTAAGTAACACTTATGTAACATTGTGGTATTAGGTACTCCCTCCGTCCCCGAATGATAGTCACTTTGGGGTGAAAATCACGGGAATTAAGGAGAAATAAATAAAGTACATGGGAACTAAAACCCAATCATTTGCAAAACAAAAAGAAGAGAGAGAAACTCATTGTCATTAAAAAGGGAGACAACTCATTCAATTAAGGCACAAGTACAAAGGTAAATATGAAGGTATTTTGGGAAGCACATATAATACATCAAAAAAAAAGAAGGTATATAGGTCATTTTGTGTTATTATATGGGACCTAAAATTGTGAAATGTGATTAACACTTTGGGTGTCCAAAAATGTAAATAGTGACTATCATTCGGGGACGGAGAGAGTAACATTTTTTGTAACACTTTAATATTAGATAACACTTTATAGTAACACTTTAATGTTAGGTAGCACTTGGTTGTCACACTTCAATATATACTAGGTAGAACTTGGTTGTAAAACATAATTTGATAAAAAAATTTTTAAAGACCCTCACAGCTTTACAAGTCATAACTTGCTCTCTTCCTCCCTCGTATTTATCGATTTCTCCATAAAGATTTCACTTTCTCTTAAATTTGCACCTCGACACCTCCTTTTCACCGCTACCCTCTTCTTGTTCTCGGTGCTCCTCTGTAGCCTTCGTCCACCGCAGCCTACCTTATTTATGAAAAACATGCATTACAGTTTATTTTGGTCCATGATAAGGGTTTAATAATAGTGTAGTTGGGTAGGGCTTGAAAAGACCTTTCCAACGATATATTATAAGCCCAATTCCGACGAGTAATGAGGAAGTTATGGCCAAAATACTAAACTAGGCCTGGTTTGATTTTTATATGTGGCCCAATGATCTAGAGGAGGGCCTATTATTAATTATCATTCCTAAAGCAATTAGGATTGATTATAGTCGTATAAAATATTCTAGAAGGTTCTCTTAAATCCTAATGGAGTTAGGATTGATAATTATGTTTTAAAGAGTTTGAAATTGAATAAAACTACTCCTTTTGAGAATCCTTGTTTTGTACGAAATGGAATATATTCAGATATTATTTTCGTGCCTCATAATATTTATCCAAATTTTATATGGCTGGATAGATCTTGAAATTATCTTTCCAATGATATATTATAATATTAAATCCGAGTTATAACGAAAAAGATATGAATGAGATATGAAACTCTATCCAAAATTGACACTCTTCCACTATTTCGGCCATATTTTATTATCTACAAAATATTTTAATATGATTCTAATTGTTTTGGAAAGTATACTTCAAGATCTTTCCAACGACATATTATATGACTTATTTGGACTTCTGGATCAAAAGATATGATCGATAAAAACAAAAGCCGCAAAAACTGTTTTGCAGCGCCGGACTAGCATCTGGCGCTCGACTACAGCGTTTGGCGCCACGCGCGTGTTTGACGTTGCAATCGTGTTTTATTCTTTTCGAAACTCTGATTCGTTTTTTATCACATCCGGCTGATTTTCTCTATAAATAGCCTCCTTAAACCTCTGTTTTGAATCAATCAATTATCATCAATTCTTCTCATCAATTCTTAGTAATTCCCTCTAGTTTTCTCTCACCAACTCTCATCAAGAAATTCTTGATTCTCTCTCTCTCTTTTCTAAATTAGCTTTTGCATACAAAATTCCACATTCACAAGATCTAGAAACACCTAGCCAAGTTCAAAGTTGTTTTCGCCCAAAACGTGAAAGGTTTTAATTTTTGAGGGTTTGGTCCCAAATCTAGTCTAAACTTTCTTTAAAATCTCTCTTTCAATTATTTAATTTGATTATTTTGATTTTTATTTTCCTTGAAGTTACTAACGCGTGTATTTTGTTGTTAGAAAGAGATACGAGGCATCCAAGTAAGTGCTTTAGTTGATTTATTGATATTTTGATATAGAAATCATGTTTAGGTTATTATTTTGATCTTCCTAGTATCATGTTAGGATGTTTGATTCCTAGTATCATGTTAGGATGTTTTGATCTTCCTAGTATCATGTTTAGGGTAAAGAATAAGTTTCTTAAATCAATTGTGATTTCTGTGATACTTCTTATCTTCTTTCCTAATATCATGTTAGTATCGTGTTAGGGTTAAAGTTTTGATTTTTATTGTTTAGTGACATGCCAGGGTTTGTTATTAATCTTGTTAGTATCATGCCTAGGATCTTGCTATTAGTATGCTTTAACATTATGATTATTATGATTGTTATAATGATTATTATTATGATGATTATTGTTTTGATGATTATTATGTCGCTTGATTATATTTATTGTTATTGCTTGATCACGCCTTTTATGCATGTTTAAAGGAAATTGGTACTTGTAATCACGCCTAATAAGATAATTAATAATCTTGTTTAGGGTTAATTTGATTATTATAATTCAAGTTATCGCCAATAATAGTTTTATTTGTGCATTAATATTCAACCAACATAGATAAACAAGTTTAGGGTTAATCTTGTTGATTGCATGTTAGTCAGAAAGCGCACATGAATACGATCAGAATAAATAGAGGCCTATTATTAGGGCAGGTTCAATCTCTTTTAGGTTGGATTTGTACCTTCATCCCCGGACTACCAGTTTTGGTTCCAGACCTATTGGAGTTGATGATCTCCTGGATCGTTAAGGGGTGTAATCTTCACCTCGTGAACGGTTTACAAGTTCCTAAAACTTGTTGGCGACTCTTTTGATCTATCTTCTTTCCCTTTGGACGCCACCGTACTTTAGTGTATGATCACAGTGGGGTTCAAATTTGGGGTAATGCTTGAAATATTTCCCTACAACAATAAAAAATAAAAAATAAAGAACTACGCAAAGACCTGATTTCGTATTACGAATACGTAGGAAAACTCTATGATTCGGTCATATCAAAATTAAAAAAAAATAAAGCTCATTTTTATTTTATTCAAAATCCTTGTAGCGATTTTGTGCTCTTATTCGAGGTATGTACAAGTACTCGGTACTTATTAAACATGTAGAAGCATGATATGTTTTATTTTATTTTATTCTAAGTTAATGAAAAATTGGTTGGATTGAATTGGTTTTGTGGAATTGAGGTCAAATTGATGATTTGATTAGGAGGCATGATTATTTGGAATGATTTATTGTTGGAGTTGGTGATGATTTAATATTGTATATGGACCACACTTTTATTATTGGCATGATTAAAAGCGGGTTTTAATCAAACTAATTGTATAATCGAGTTTGAATATAAAAAGGGAATTTTATTATGAGGTGTTTTCATAGTGCACACGTAAAGGAGCAAAACTAACAACCAGAGGTAACATAAGCACATAGAGGATGTCCATGTGATCAATACTACTCCCTCCGTTTCAATTTGTTAGTCCCATATACTATTTTGAGCGTTTCAAAAAGATCTACCCATATTGAATATATTCTACTTTTAATTTAGTTTTTATTTCCTATTTTATACATAATAAATTCTGATTGCTCAGATTAATTGATTGTGAGTTAATGAAATGATTCTAAGTAAAGAAATTACTCCTTTGATTTATGCAATTATGGCTAAAACTTTCCTAAAAAAAAATTAAATAAGACAAAACTATTTGTGAATTGTTTTTTACTTTAATGCTAGATTCCAAATATTCTCCTTTTTCTTATTTTATGTGATTGATTCCATATGAGACTATCATATTGAAATGGAGAGAGTACAATCTTTGCACTTTAAAAGAATGTTCCTTCTCTATATGCGTGGAAGGAGGCTGGCATAGGTGAACTGATGAAAGCTTTGCATTAATTTAGATACTGTAACATGATGCCATTTTGGACCATGTCATGGTGTTCTCAAGATTTATGCAATAATTACATAAAGCTACTTGTTGATGTGATTGAAGTTATTGAAAGCTAACTGGAGGCATTTAAAGATGCTTCTTCACGCCCGCTAATTGATGGTGAAGATTTTATTACATGCAGCTTACGCTGTGTTGAGATGCACAAAATTGATGGTGATTCTGGTTTCTTGGACTAGTATTGTTAGAGGTCTAGGAGTAATTAACGACGACACAATAAGAGCTTATACCTGCAAGCAAGAAAGTCAGTGAGAAAACAGGAAGAAGGCAGTAGAGCTCAATTACTTACTTGCCTTCCTTAAATGATAGTATCTGGAATCCTTCGATTTGGGTGGACAGTTACCCTGAGTCCCTGAATCATTAATTTTGTGATGGTTTTTGTAGAGCATAAAGTTATTGTTTTATAATCAATGAATTAGCCCACAACTCAGGTTGAAACAAAAAAATAAATAAATAAAAATAAAAAGTTTAAATAAATTAATAAATAAACAAACAAGATTTTCAATTTGGAGTTTGAAACTCTTTGCACTTTATGTTCCTCATTTCATTCCGTTTTTCCAAACCTATAAACATCCTATCAAACTCTGGGTTCAACCATAAGAGAAGGTTCTGAAACTGAGCAAATTGTTTCTACACATGGATATCAGTACCAAAAATTTACAAGAGATGAAGCATTTTAAACTATAATTATGAACACAATGGCATACTACAGTGCATTGGAACATAGAAGTTGATCCATTTGTTCTGTGCGCCAGGCATTTACAGTAGCATTAGTTGACGAGCCAGTCAGCAACATATGTGATATGTCAGCTGCACAAATAAACATTTGATAGTCAGAATCAGAACCAGGAGAAAAGCCTCTCCCCACCAAGGTGAGAGGTGGGCGTGATGTGCATGCGTGTGTGTTAGAATGTTGGTTTAAGTTTTCCAAGCAATGGGCCAGAAAGAGTTGACACAATCCTCAAGAAGATCGGTAAAAGATGAATCAAAGAGCTCACAGTCCTTATTTTTCATGTACATGCAGTCATGCATATCAAACATAGATGATGATTTAACATTGGATGAATTCTAACATTACAGAGAAAACATATGGTGCAATGATCTCACAAAAGGTAGCAAGTGCACATTAACCCCTCCGATTTTGTTTTACTTTTCCAACTTTTTGTAAAGCCCTTCCATCCCTTACATGCTACTTCTCTTTTCCCAATTTCTTAAAACCTCGCCATAAATGCCAAATTGAATTATTGAACTATTCACCAAGAAGTACCTCACAAACTAATAGATTTGTGCTAAGTTTTGGTTGAGTTGGCCCTTTTACATGACATCAATATCCGGAGTGACATAACAATCACATATCAAAGCACATCAATCCCTCATTTCAAGTGGAATATTTAACTTTGGATATTGGACCCTATGCCAAGACTCATGCGGCAACCACCATACTTCAAGCTCAAAGGTCTTTCATATGAGGAGGCATGATATAGTATATCAATCAATTTTAGGATTCAACTATTAGCTTAAACTTTTGGCTGGGTTGGTCCTTTAACACTGTTCACTGTAATCCCATGATATATTTTTGGATTAACATACGCATCATAACATCTCTAATTATGTATCATTACAAATTATAAAAATTATAAATTCTTAAAGCATTTGTTGAGACGGATTTAACAAACTTTACTATATTTTATCTTATAGATTAGGATAATTTAAATGATTCCTTCAAATTGTAAATAATGTCAAGATTTTAGGTAAGATAAATAAAAGAAAACAAAGAGAGACTAGTTTTAGTAAATTTTGGACAATTTATAGTGAATTTTGAACTATGTTAATCCTAAACGCCTAGTCCCTCAAAATTCAAACCATAACAAGTTATTCACAAATCAAAATTAAGAGCATATCACAAAAGTTAATGCCTTTCAATTTTCACATAAGATTGAGAATTTCAATTTTCCATAAATTTTGCTTACATTTCATCCCCTTGGTATTTTTGTAACTTTTGAAGTGCCTTTAAGCTTTTACTCATAAGGTATATGGGAAATGAGAAATTGCTAAGTAATTAGGTGGGGCGAAGCTATTACTTTTGCTTCTGCTCCATTGTGAATGTGTATGGTATTAATTACTCTTGAATTAAGAATCTTCTTATTAGATCCCAACCTATATATATAATGTACATAAACTAGTTCTAGTGAAATCTAAACAATTTTTAGGAATAATTGTCACCAAAGATGATTAATTTATCTATGGGAAGATTGGGAACTTAATACACAAATTTGGCAATTCAACCAATTTAGATGTCTTCAAAGATAAGAAAGGAGGTTTTAGGCATTAAAAATGCTGAAATCTGGAATGTTGCTGCTCTAAGGAAACATGGTTGGGCTATAGCTCAAAATCAGGAAAGCCTATGGGTAAAGTGGGTGAATGCAGTTTACCTGAAGGGGCAAAATAGAATGAGTTATCAGCCAAAAGTAGATTGCAGCTTGTGTTGGAAACAAAGTGTAGTGGCTCCTGCATAGATTGGGCAAGATGCAGGAATATTATAAGATTGGCAAGCATTTTGATCTTCTGATGCATGCCCAGCAGAGATGCAGATGGGATAAATTCATTTGGGAAAAGAAATGCATGCCTAAGCATCAGTTCATTGCATGGCTAGCTATTCAAGGCAGACTGAAGACTAGAAGACAGGCTGCATTCTCAGAGACAAGACATGTCTCTTGAGTGGGGAGACTGTGAAGGGTCATAGACATCTGTTCTTTGAGTGTAAGTTCAGCAAGACTCTTTGGTCTGAAATCAGACAGTGGATTGGTATAGGGCCTCACAGCATTCAGCTGAGTACGGTCTATAGAGTAATAGGCAGAATAAGGAGCAGCTTTCACAGAAGTGTTCTGTACACTTGTATTCTTGCAGTGGGTGTATCACACCAGGTGGGCAAGGAATGCTGCTTTATGGGACAGGAAAGTCCTTTGGATTCCTAGAGTAAGTGGCGGATCCACATTGACGCCCGGGGGGGCAAGTGATACCCCCACGAAAAAAAAAAAAAAAAAAAAAAACCTGGAAAAGCGTCCCTTATATCTGTATATATATTATAATTTGTAATAATGTTAAATGACTAGCATTGCTTCAGTGGTTAGAGAGTTGGATGGGTGAACAATCTTTGTTTAAGAAGTTCAGGGTTCGAGACCCCATAGCATCAATTTTTTTTGCTTTGAACCCAATTGAATTTTCATTTATAATTTTTTTTTTCATTTTCACACTTTTTATAAACAGTCCTTGTAATATGAAATACTCTCTCTGTTATATTCTTCTCATTTTCATTACATAATATTTATTGCATTTATTTGGCCATTATTAAATGTTATTTATAATCGTATGAAAATTTACACTGAAATAAATATAAAAAATCATACTCCAACTGTGTTTAAATAAATGAAACTTTTTGACTTTTTGTACAATTTATCTAATTCAGTTTAGCTAATATTTTGTGATTTATACATAACAATAAATAAATTCATGTGGGTACTTGTTGGAATCGTCAAATTTATTACTTTAATATTCAATTATTATAAGATTAATTACTAAAGATATTTTCATTCAAAGTTTTACGTTAGCATATGTGCACAAGGAAAAATTTATACCAAAGTTTTCGTTATAAATTCATATGTAACTTTGACAAAATAAAAAATAAACAGGTAGAAAGTTTATAATATTATAATTGATATCCACAATATAATTGAACTTTTTTTGTTTTTTTGACGAGACACAATATAATTGAACTTGTCAATATAAATGTCTAAATTTGATTGTTAATTATTATACGACTACACAACGCATTATATCCATGTTTGGCTGATTATATATTATGATACGTTACAACAATGTTATACTCCTTATTTATTATTATTATTATTATTATTATTATTATTATTATTATTATTATTGTCTAGTGCTACCCTAGTTCAAATTCCTGGATCCGCCACTGCCTAGAGTGGCAAATTGTATAAAGTACAAGATAAAGTGTAGATTAGAAGGGATAGGTATAGTAAAGAATACTGTAAAGCAGAATTCTTGGATAGAGTTTACGTTTGTGAACTGTTGTATAGTACTTGCATAGGTGTTTTTTTAGGCTCTTTGCCTATATAGTTTTCTCCTCAAGGAGATTGGTTGTATCATCATTTTGATGAGGAATAAAATTCATCTGCTTACTGATAAAAAATAATAATAATAACAAATAAATAAAAAAAGATAAGAAAGGATTGAGAGTGACCTTTGCCTGCAAACTAACTCCACTGTGGGTTCGCTAAGAACAATATAAATACTAGATGATGAGCAAACTAATTAAATTCAAAATGATCAATTAAACAATTAGACATACTCTTTATTCAACTGAATCAATTAGTACTATGCATTTAACAATCTCTACAAATTTTTAAAACAGCAAAAGGTATCTAAGTAGTATGACATGCAACATGCGTTTAAGTGTTTAACAGAGCATTTCTAAATGTACCATCTAACCAATAATGCTTACCATAGTTACCAAAAAAGCATAATAAGCAAACTAAGATTGAACTTTACCATGCACGAAGATTTTGACACTTTAACGCTTTGATTGCTGCCTCAGCAAAAACTTTTGCAGCTTCTGCTTCAGCTTCTGCAGCCTCAGCCTCCCTTGTAGCCTTCTCAGCTTCCACAATAGCAACTTCTGCTTCAGCAACTGCTCGAGCTGCTGCAGCGGCAGCTTCATGAGACGACAAACTCTTCATTTTCCCCAATTCTGCAACAACTTCTGACCTCGTAAAAATTTTAAGTTCCTTGCTTTCTGGCTTAGCATGGTCCTTGCATTTACTATCCAATAAATCTTTTCTTGTCTCAGAAGGAGGTAAACTCTCAGATATTCTATACCTGTGCTTAACCTGGCACAATTAAAACCAATACTCACAATTAGTATGTCCGTCCATGGAAAGGAGCTAATTAACAGTACACTTGTAAAATAATCTAAGATACATCACATGAAGAAAAAGTGGATGTAAATGCTCAGGAAAAAACCTTTCGATTATATAACAAGTGATGCAATTCCAAGTCAGTCCTATAAAAGGTTTCAATCAGATATTTGAAACTTTTGGTATGTTTGGATAGCAAAGTGGAAAGAAAGGGAAGGGAGGGAAGAAGAAGAAGGGGAAAGAATGGAAAGGGAAAGAGGGAGAAAGTTAGGTTAAGTTTTCCCTCCAAATCATTCCAACATTGGAAGGATTTAGTTTATTAAAGAGGGAGGGAAAATGAATCCTTCCATTTCCCTTCCCTACTATCAAAGTAAAGGTATCCAAAGAAACGAGGATGAATCCCTTATTTTCTCTTCTCTTCTTTTCGCTCCAATTCTCTCAATCCATAGGGTGTCGTATTCCCCCCCCCCCAAAAAAAAAAAAAAAAAAACAATAACAAAAAATATCCTAAACAGAGGCAATACCAAACATGAAATAAAAATCTTGACGTCAACTCACTTATTTTACACAATCATACCAAGCTAAGAAAAATATAAATGCATTAAAAGCAACCCAGAGGGTGACAACCAAACAGCTAAAATTTTACGAACCGATGATGCTTGTTGTCAGCAATTTCTACAACAAAGTGGACTCATGTCTTTCAACAAGAACCTACTTCCAAACATCCTCACCTTAATCAACTGGCCATTTGATGCCATAAACTTCAATTTTGAAGACAATAATTTACTGAAATTTGGAGGTGCCCAAAACCGCTCCTAGCAGAAGAAAGATGTGAGTCAACGCTTTGGTTGTATATTAAGAAAAATAATGTCAGAAGCCTTTCCGACACCAACTAGAATTAAAAAAAAAAAAATAAATCTAAATCACTTTCCACAAAAAAATGTAAGAAATATAAACAAGACGCTGCCAGATAAAAATCATTCAAATAACAAACGATACAAAGAGCAAAATAACTGTCAATGATAGGGCTATTGCCTATGAAAAGATACAATTCGGTAATAAATTGGGAGTTTCCTAGCTGTCTTTCTCTCCTCAACAGCCAGATACAAGAACACTTTGCTTAAAGGTCTGTAAGCCAAATTTGCGCATGTAATTGACCACCAAATCAAACATTGCTTTAAATGGTCAAGTGGCAAGAATAAACTAGTGGGGGGAGGGAATGGAATAGTTGTCCAAGTGTTTGCAAGAGCTGACACTTAATCCAAATTTCAACTTTCATCCAAGATGTGAAAATCTAAACATCACTCACACGATGTTTGCTGGTGAATATGAAAATCTGCTAAAGTTCTCTAGAATTGATAATCATTCTACTCCCTTTTTGTAGCTTTTCATAAGTTCTTTACGGGTACAGGTTTTCTTCAAATTTAAGAAAGAGTTATAAGTTTATTTCGTGGATTTTCGGAGGCTAATCAGGATAGAATGTAAGAGGTGCTATGGATGATAAAGGGAACCATTCCTTTTAAAAATTTAGGGGTTTTTCTCTCTTCTGAAAAACTTACTATTTCTCATGTAGGCCTTTGGTGGAGAAAGTTACTTCTAGGATTGATTGCTAGACATACAGGCTGCTTTCTTATGCTGGGTAAAGGGAAAGTTGTTTGGTATTCAGAATATTGCGCACAAATCTTCATTCACCTAAGAAAATTTTACAGGAAACTAAAGCTAGAATTCAATGCTTGCTTCGGACAGGGAAAGCTAACCCTTCTAAGAAGGCTCTGATTTCTTGGAATCTGGTGTGCATACCTAGAGTTTTGTGGGGGATAGAATGTTATTTCTCTTGGTGATGGGAGCAAGGCTGCAATAACCCAGGTAATGTGGGTCCTTGCTCACAAAGCAGATATGTAGGTTAAATGGGTTCATATACATTATTTCATATATACAGAGTTCTAGTCTGCTCCTATTCCTAAAAAATGTTGGGTTCTAAAAAGAATTCTAAAATGCAGGGCAATAATTGATGAAATTGGTAGTTGGAGTGCATCAGGGGAAAATGAGTATCAAAAGTTATATGCTTTGATCAGGCCTCAAGGAGCTAAATTTAATTGGAAGATGGTTATTTGTAATAATAACGCTTCTCCTAATATCATTGTATTCCTTGGCTTGCTGTTTGGAATAAGCTGGTTATCAAAGACAGGCTGACTGCTTGGCATGTGCCTTGTGATCCTATCTGTTTTTTATTTTTAATTTTTTTTTTAAATTTTTATTATTATTTTTTTTTTTTTGTTTTTTTTTTTGAAAATGAAAGTGTGTCGCACTTGTATTTTAAGTGTGCTAATTCTAAGTGGATTTAGCGGTTCTTGGCTTATGATGTTTCAGTAAATGACAGGAGAGTAGGGATGACTAGAACTTAGGAGGGAGAGGACATTAAAGTAAATGAAATTGTACAAAAAAAAAGTAAAAAAGAAAAGAAAAGGAAAGAAAACAAAATGAAAGAGGGAAAAATATTAATCATCTTCAGGCTAAAAAGTTGATGGTAGCATGTATTCTAATCAATTTGGTCATTCTTGGCGATTCATTATTTTTTCCAATGAAAGTAATTGGGTAATTTTGGGAGAGTTGTATACATCATGAACATGAAAAAATAATAAAAAGAAGTCAAAGTATAATTATTAAAAATAAAAATTTAAAAAAAATAAAATAAAAAGTAGGATGAAGAAAAAGCAGCAGCATAAAGTCGATGTGGAACAGATATTACTGTTGTTGGAGGCGGTGCAGTAGGACCTTCATGTTATTTTATGGGAGGACATTAGTGGTGTAGCTTGGGCTAGATCAGTTCTGGAAGCTTTGAAGGATAAAGACTAGTGCCGGCTATGGAGTTCAGTAGTTAGTAATTTTCTTTTTCCAATTGTTCATTTTTGCTACCTTTTCTTTTTTTAGTTGGCTAGTGTTTTTTGTTTCTTGGGGCTTGCCCCTCTCGTTCACTAAAAAAAATATAATAAATTGGAATATGCTTGTCTGATGTAATAATAGCTTCTTTGGTGTTCAAAGCAAATTATTTATGTTTGAGAAAGCAATAAATATCTCCCTGTGACAAGCACTAGTTCTATATTTGGATTCAGATAGCCCTACTTCATGAAAACTCTTGATCCACAACTAACAAGAATAGTAGTTACTTAATTCTTAAATGATATCAGCGGAGAATCCACGTATAGATAATGCTCCAAAAATCATAAACAAATTATAACTCTTCCTTAATAAAGCAACTATGAAGGTGAATAACATAAACCTATCGCAATTTAATATTTTAAATCCATCAGTTGCAAGCCAAAACTGACAACTAGTTGACAGTAAATTGTTAAAGCTACTGCCATAGGATGCAATAACTGAGCAGTTACAAGCATAAAAAGACGTCAAGGTATGTCAAAAAGCAGTTTTCTTTGACAGCAACCAAAGACTGGAAGATGGCAACTAAATAAAAGTGTCATTATGACTTCTGAGTATAGCTAATGATAAGTTGTTATAGCCTCTAATACCTCTATGTACATGGCAATTGCATTCCTGTCAGAACCTTTCGGCTCCTGAAGAGTTGTTATAGCCTCCAATATGAGGTTATCCAGCCTAATCAAAAACAAAATACAGAATGACAATCATTATCAAAATATTAAATAATCATACCATATCAACAGACTGTAAACTCTTAAAGCTAGCATAGCTTCCTAAACACAGCCTCACATAAAGCATACTCACACTCATCACCCCTTTTACAAACTCTCAAAATCTGTTTTAGGCACTACAAAAAAGAATAAACCCACAAAAGAATGACCTAGCAACTATACACCTCTCATCCTTTCTCTTATGTCAATCAATGTTTCACGTTAGTTTTAATTGCCAGAATTTGTATCACCAACAGCTTGTTTGAATAGAGAGATTTAAAGGGAAAGATAGTGGGTGCCTTGTTCAGATTCCAGATTGTAAGGAGGAGTTAAATGGAGGACAAAAAACTGGAAAGATTTTTCCTTCATCCTATATAAACAATTCGCTCCATAATTGGAAAGATTTGGAAGGAAGATTGGAGCCTAAGTCAATTTCTCAATTATTTTATATATACATCAAAAGTAATCAAGAAGCAGGTAAAATTCACAATAATCACAAATTTGTAAATATGTTGTGATTGGGGAAAAACAAAATCATGTTCATGGAACTCGTTCTGTCAAAAATATATAGGGGAATAGTATTTCTCAACCCCTCCCCTCCTCTTCCCTCTTTAAGACCTGTTCACTTCACCTTAAAAAATAATATTCAATGAAATTAGGTTCAGCCAGTAAAAATCAGTAATTGTTAAGAATAAATATACTAGAGAATCAGTACAAAAAATCTTAGTTCTATAAAATTACGGTTTTTTCACCATATACCCTTGAGTTTTTTGTTTATTCACCGTATAAACATGAAAATTTTCAAATTCACCATATACCCCCGTGTTGTACAAAAATTCACTATATATCCCTAATGACAACAAAATGAGTGGAATTTGATTTATTATGCATCGAAACCACCTTAGATCTCTCCCCCATCCTCGAAACCACTCCTTTCCTTTGTCCTATCCATAATCATGTCTGTATGATCAATTTTGAGGATAAGAAAAGAAATTTGTGGTGGTTTTGGGGGTGGAAAAACGAATTGTGGGTGATTTCGGAGTTAAATGAATGTATTTAGGGTGGTTTCGGGTCACAATTAACCCTAATGATTGACAAAGTTAACAATTATAAGTCATTAAGGGTATATGGTGTATTTTTGTGGAAATTCGAGGGTATATGATGAATTTTAAAAAGGTCATGGGTAATGGTGAATAAACAAAAAACGCAGGGGCATATGGTGAAAAACCCGATAAAATTAATTTCAATTTAATATAAGTAATTTAAGTTCAGCAAAAAATAATTTTAGTTCATCAAAAATAATTTCAGTTTAGCAAAAATGAGGTTAAGTGAACAGGGACCAAGTCTTATCCAAACAAGTAGTAAATTTCAATTCCCTTTTTGCAACTTGGGTGGGCCAGATAATGGCTAAACATAGAGTTTCAAAACAAGAAGTACCCACGTTTAGTATGTGATTTTAGATATATATCGAGTTTTACAGTTGTTTAGGGATAGAAAAGGAGAGGTAGGGGATGGGGGAGGAAAAGGGAAAGGGAAAGGGAAAGGGAGGGGAGGGAAGTTCCAAATCTCTCCACTATCAATTCTTACCATTTAATTCCTCCATTTTTCTCCCCTCCAATTCCCTTCTTTCCTCATTTGTTATCCAAATGAAAGATACTTCACCCCTCTATTTCCCATCCTTTCCTCCATCTCCTTTAAAACAAACACTGTAAAAGTGATTGTAGTCAAGTATCCATTATAAAGAATTAAAGACCCAACTCAATTATGTATTCGGGGATGAACGGATATCAGCACTAACCATTAAACTCTATACAGAACAGAAGTTACTAGTCCAGTCTTAGATTTTATACGGGCTGCAAGAGGGGTAGCATATTTGGTTATAACAACATCATACTTTATACACCAAGATATACAAATAAAGAACAGATCAACATAATGACAAAAAGACTATGACCTTGTATATGTTTTCTTCGAATCAGCAACCTGAACTGTCTCACTAGGGGTACCAACAAGTTCATCTTCAACAGCATCCTCATCACTCCTAACATGGTTCACCACGGAAGGCTTGTCATCAAGTTTGGGGATTTGTGGATTCCTCTTAAGTGCTAGCCTAGCTTTTTCTCTAGATCCTAAGCCACTCAAAGTCACATTAATATTTCTCCACTTATCCTGTCAAGAACGATAAAGAAATTCTGATATTAGCACAAATTCAATACAAAAAGATAAGAACAGTCATTCAAGCTGAAATAGAATTTTCTTTGCCTCTAATGTAAAAGTATGTTCAGATAAATCAAAGCTTCAATTCTCTAAAAGGGCTCAGTACCATACCTTGAGATCCACATTTGAACGGGAGCATAGGACATTGCTGAACTCTGGATCTCTAAGTATTGTTTGCCACTTACCAGACCCATGCTTGCGTACTCCAGCTTTTAGAGCTGCTTCTTCTTCTGCTGTCCACTTTTGTTTAGGAGCACCCATTAGCTAGAATCCAAGACTCTTTACAAGAAAACATCTGCAAACATATAAGATTGTTAAAAACTGCTGAAACTGCATATCACAGGCAGCAAATTGTACAGATATCATTAAGGACTAAACTATCAGGTTATAGATCATGACACTAGTCGTGAGTAGTAATCACTATAACTGCTACTAATGGCAAAAAAAAAAAAAAAAAAAAAAAAAAAAAACTATGCAGGAAAATCTAGTCGAAAAGGAGAGTACTTTATATGAATTAGTGAACTTACAAGAGCATAAGAAAACTGGGAATTTCAAAATCCTCTAATTTGGCAATGACCTCTGAACAAAGAATGGCATGATGCTAAAACATGTCTTCTTCATTTCTGTATGCTTTTCACCTACATATTATCATAATACAGCATGCATGCATTGAAGGCTGTCTTAAAAAATAATTAGGCAGCTGACATTGCAACCTTGCATCTATTGATTTGTAGGCTAATCAAGAACGATACAATCGGCACCGCCATAATAATATTAATTGGTAAAGGAAAGATACAATTCTGCATCTTATGGACGTGTAAAGATGGTAATGAATAACACGCATCATTCTTGCTTCAACTCTTCAAATTCAATATCCAAAAACCCTCCCCTCTTCCCGAATTCAACAAACATCCAAGAGTAACCCCAGAAGATTATGTTCTGGGTACCCATAATTCTAAATTCCAACAACAAAACCTTGATCAAAACTCGGAAATAACAACATCCCAAATTTTGATCCTCACAATGACCCCAGAAGATTATGTTCTGGGTACCCATAATTTTGCAAATTTGCAAAGACTTACAGCATCTATAAGAAGCTTAGTGATATCAATAAACTGGAGCATAAAGTATTTGAATAGCAAAGCCATTTTCATATACAACCCAATTCCACCAAATGCGTCAAAATTAAACACCCAAAACAGAAAAGATAACAAATTGAGAAAACATGACGAAAAATTGATGGCATAACATTGTACAGAGAGATCAATGCAATAAGAGAAGAAGAAAAATCGAAATTTAATATAGTTATCAAAGAGATCGATAAAAACATGAATAAAGAGGAAATCACAAGGCAAAAATACCTAAATACAAGGGAATTGTAACAACAGAGGAAACGCTAGTCAATCAGAGTGCCCAGAACAATGGTAAGCAGAGCGGCCATGGAAGTTTCTATCGCTTTTTTTTTCTGTTTTTTTTTTCTCAATCTTATTTTTCCTTTTCTCGGTTTTTTTTTACTACTACTTTTTTCCTGGTCGTGATTTCACTTTCTGTCTCTCTCCCCTTCTTTTGTTGTTTTATCACCGTTAGGGGTGTTCAGAGTTTGGTTTAAACCGGTCAAGGTGGTCAAACCGTAAATCAAATCTGTTTGGTTTAAACCACGTCAAAGCGGTCAAACCGTAATTCAAATCGTTTTTTAGCAGTTTGGTTTGATTTACGATTTTAAAATTATGGTTTAGTTTGTGAATAAAATCTATGGTTTGGTTTTTTCAGAAAATTTAAAACAAAACCACAATGGATTTGTTAGTAGGGGTGAGCAAAAATTCAGGTTCCCCTACCCTGGAATCAGAACCTATTAGGAATCGCTGAACCGCAGGTTCCGATTCCGGATAATAAAATTTTGGACCTGAAATCTGTAAGGTACACTGTTCGTACAGGTTTCCTGTAGGATACGCGAAAGTGAAACCTATCATATAAGCCCAAATATAAAAGCCATACGCCAAATTTGTGTAAAAGTCGTCACCTACCTCTCTCCCTCTTCTTATTCATTTTTCATCTTAATCATAAGATTTAATTAATGGTACTAATATAAATATTTGTAATTTTGTATTCAAGATTCTAGACAATCAGTGTTGGTTGGTTATTTTGTAGTACTGTATTAAAGTTGTAAGCTTTTATTGTGAACATCCATTTTTTTAACAATTTATCAAGTAACTATTAAGCTTAATTTGAAAGACAGGGTACCATGTATCGGAACCAATATCTGCAGGTTTCAGTTTCGGTTCCTATTTTTAGGAACCTGGTGCAACAGGTTCCAGTTTCGGGTCTTGAGATTTTTACAGGGTCCCCTACTACGCTCACCCCTATCGTTAGGTATTGTTGTGACTTTTTGTTTTAATTGTTTTTCAAAATCATGATATATATTATATAATGTATCAAAAATTAATTAAACTAATTAAAATCATAATAATTTTGAAATTTGTTAACATAGAAGCGGAAACACATTTTTCTTGTTTCCTATTTTTGGTTATTAATTTAAAAAAAACATGAAACATAAAACTCAAAACAATGCCAACATAGGCTCTACTAATAAATCTTTTTTTGAATAAAATGTTTTTTTAAAACATATTCTATTAATAATTTAAAACAAACAATAAATGTCCAATATAGATCTAATATTGACTTTTGTGATTTGTTTTGCTAATAAATTGACTTTATCAACTTTTTTAGTTTCTAGTAAAACTTTGATGCTACAAACCATTTTAACAATAAAAGTATCAATGTTAAAAAAAAATCAATAAATGATATTGTGACACTGAACCAAACCGTTTTAATGTAATTTGATTTGGTTTGGTTTGACGTATAATACGGTTTGGTTTGATTCGAGAAAATGTCAAATCGTATTACGATTTGGTTTGGGTATAACCTAAACTACACAAAACTAGATCACGAACACCATTAATCACCACAATTTCATACTCCCTCCGTATTAAATTAGATTACACATTTTACATTTTATATAAACTTTGCTTTGCTCAATATTAAATTAGGTTCTTTTTAATGTGTACTTAATTAATTTTTAATATTGTTACTATAGTACTTCTTTTGTTTTTTAAATTATTACATTATTTTCCTTTTAAATAAGTTTTACTAATATTGCATTACATCCATTTAAGAAAACAAAATACCTCTATTCACACTGCGAATACCATTGTGCCCTTACTTTTCACAACCGATTCTTTAGTTTTTTCTTACATCACATATAATATTTCAATTGAATTTTTACATTAACAAAGGTAATAAAAAATCATCTTATCCAATTTGAGACACAGGAAGTATTATTTATAAAATAGTTATAGTCCATATCTTATCATTGTATAATTTTTTATTTACTCGAAAAATACAAATCAGTACTTGGGTACGCTAAATTGTAACCCTTAGCTTCGACCCCAAACAAATTAGGAAGAGGCATGTTGTCACGAAATGCGCATCAAGGGCCAACAACTATCCCCACAGAACAACACAAGTCCTTTCGGTGCATTTTGTCCTTACTCATGCGCATCCTGAGAAAAACTCCGCAGATTGTCACTCATCCAAAGACTACTCCCAACAAAGCACGCTTAAATGTGGACTATCTTAGCATATTAGCTCCCTAAAAAGATGATGCATCTTGTTGGTATGAGTAGTATATTAAACTCCTTTAAAACAATCATGAAGGGTATTACATAAACAGCATGAACTTTATATGGAGCAATGAACAACACAAACTTTGGGAAATGCTTGGGATACACTTGTACACCACTAATTCAAACATGTCAACTTTGCTAGCCTTAGAAGGGGAATAAAAAATTAAAAGCTGAGAATTTAATTTTGGTGTGTTAATCAGACTTTAAGCCTGTTTCCAAGGGTTTAAGTGGGAATCATTTCACCTAAGCGCCAACTTTTAATATATGCAATTAATTTATAAGCTTGTAAAAATAAAAGGTATGCTATTAATTTTACTTACAAATTGTCAATCTTCATCTACGTCCCCAAAATAACTATAAGGAAATATAGAAGAACAGATGCTTTATGAGTGTCATTTATGGCACTCATTTGATCAATTTTAGGGTGAATTTCATTCTCTTTTGTACCACTTTTTTTATTCCTTTTTCCTTAATTTTGCCCTTTATTTCTTTAGTTTGCATTTTCTTTAGTAGATTTCTATTTTCATGCATTTCTTGGTTTATTTCGCATTTTTTACCTTTATTTGTTTGTTTTCTTTTATTTTTAGAAAAAGTTTGTTCCCGAGGTCTCTTCCCGGGTTTTTCATTGATTAGGATGGCTAGTGTCTTCCATTTGAAGCCCAAGTATGGAGATGTGAAAGTTCCTAGCTAGTGACCTTAGCCGTGCATTCAAGCCGTGGGGGAACCAATTCTGGTGTTGAACCCACTGTCAAGGTGTTTTAGGGTTTCCATGCTCCGTGTTCATCAAGCACATCAAGTGGAGCGCACGAGGAGCATCAAGATGAAGGGGAAAAGAGATGTCCTGCTCCTAGGCGCGGGCTCAGTGCCCAGTCGCAAGCGCGCCTGTAGCTTTCCCTGTTCCGAACCCTTTTTCTCGCAGCCGTGCATCTTCAAAGTAAAGGTCACGCCTGTACGGGTTCTTTTGGGACAACTAACTACTTTCTCCTTTGTTAGTTTTCCTATTTATAGTTTTCTCTTCATTTTTTAGAGGGGGGAATGAATTTGAAAGCTTAGAATTAGAATTAGGTTTGATTTTCTTAGAGAGAGAAACTCTGGATTTTAGAGAGAGAAACATTGAAGATTGATGGGTGATGATTAATGATAGTTGCAATTGGTTTGAATTCAAGTACATATCCTTTGATTTGATCAAGTTTTTAAGAATCCTCTTTACTTTAATTCAATCTTTAGCTTTTGATTTCAATTGTTTTGTTGATTGTTCAAGTTTATTGATTGTTTGATTGGATTAGTTTGATTGGAATGATGTTGATGAATTTAATGAATTGTATAGCTTTGTTCTTGATTTCTTTAATGGATTGTGAGTAGTTTGCTTTCTAGGGATGTGGTGAAGCATGTATTAGTGATGGATCATTAGCTAATTGGGGTTTTTTTTATTGATTTAGTATTGTGATTAAATTGGTTGATTGATTTTGTGCATGTGTATGGATTGGAAGGAGTGATCAACCTTGTTCTTCATGCTAGATTGCATTATGTGTCTACATTGATACGGACCATTGATTTGTAGCTCACATTTATCGATTGAGCTTGGTTTGTGACGTTCCTAGTTAGAGTCTTTCGTAGTGGCACTAATTAGACCTCTGGGAGATTGCTTATTGAGCTCTTTTGATTGCATTGTCTATCTTCCCTCACAGTACTCAAATTCATAAGGCTCAAGCTATTTCGTGAGGGGGGTCGCACAAGAATTCATAAGGCTCAAGCTATTTCATCTCTCTCTAATTGAAAGAGCTCAGAAGTGGCTAGACAAGGAAGTGAAGCCTAATTCCTTGAGAACTTGGGGTGAAGTCACTAAAGATTTTCTTTCCCGTTTCTTCCCTCAAAAGAAAACGGCGGAGGCTAAAGCTTTGATGAAGGTTTGAAGCAAAGGACTAGTGAAAGCCTCTATGAAGCATGGGAGATGTACAAGGAATATCAATGAGAGTGTCCTCACCATGGAATCCCCAGTTACCAAATCATTCAAATATTTTATGGTGGTTTGAGTCCTCAAGGGAGGTCAAGTCTTGATGTCGGAGCCGGAGGCCCAATAATGAACAAGACTGAGAAGAAGTTGTTGATATTATTGAGGATGTAGTGAGACGCTACATGGATTGGCAAGAGGGTGAGAAAGAGCCGACAAACAAGAGTAGCTGCACGGGATGCTCAATTGATCAACTCAATGCTATCAACAAATTGTCCACGCAAATTTCGGATTTAGGGAAAGAGGTAGTATCTATCAAGGTTAAGCTCGAGAGTGCAACTTCACAAGTATCGATTCTTCCCTCCCAAATTTAGGGGAGAGGTACACCTCCTTACCCTAACACTCTTCCCTCTTCTTGTTGTATGATTAGTGAATGTTGGTTTTGTGATCTATGTGGAATGAATTATCATGATGCTTCTTTTTTTCCTAATGTTTCTTGTGATAGAAATGATGAATATGATGGAAATGGGAGTGAGCAAGTGAATTATGTTGCTAATAATGATTTTGGACCTAGATTTGATGTTCAAAGGAATGTTGGGAATAGGAATTATCACAACCACGAGAACTATGATAATTATAACCAAAATAGTGGTTATGGAAACCAAAGAACCCAAGGGTTTCGTGGTAACTATAACAACCATGGTTATAATGGTCAAAGTCATGGCCAAGGATATGGAGATCATAACCAAGGTTATGGTAACCATAATCAAAATCATGGCCAAAATCAAGGTAGGGGTAATTGGAGTAATCAAAGTAGGGGGAATTTTCAAAACAATACTCAAAGAGGTACCCCACTTGGATTTATTCCAAAGACCCGAGGCCAAAATGATAGTTTCTATGATCAACCATGTTCATCTAGGAGTTGGTTAGATAATTTCTTTGAGAACCAAACCAAGGTGCTGAATACTCATATAACTCTTAGTAATGAGAAGATTAATGACATGATGACTTATAGTAAGGGGTTAGAGAACCAAATTTCTCAATTGGCTTGTATGTTGAAAGAGTTTGCAAATCTTTCTTCTTTGACTTCACAAGGTATAGATCCTAAGAGTTCTATGAATGCAATTGTGACTAGGAGTGGTAGGATTCTTGAGAGTGGAGTTTCTAAGAAGAGTGATGTTAAGGAGAGTCACAACAATGATCCGATTGAGAATTGAATGAAGGAGATGAGAGTCCATTGATTGAGAAAGTTGATGAGAAATAAGTTGAGAAAGTGAAAGAGAAAGTGAGAGAAGTTATCAAACCTAAGCTCCCATACCCCCAAAAGTTTAATAGGCACAAATTAGATAGATGAAAAATTTGGCAAATTCATATAGATGCTTAGGTAACTTCATCTTACCCTCCCATTTACCGATGTCATTGACCAAATGACGAATTATGCAAAATTCCTTAAGGAAATCTTGAGTGGGAGAAGAACTTGTGATATGGCGGAAACGGTTAGTTTGACCGAGAATTGTAGTGCCACCATAATGAACAAGACGCCGCCTAAGTTGAAGGATCCTGGGAATTTTTCTATCCCTTGTGCTATTAACAAGACACAAATTGATAATGTCTTGTGTGACCTAGGAGCTAGTGTTAGCCTTATGCCATACTCGGTCTATCAAAGACTTGAGCTAGGAGAACTCTCACCTACCAACATTACCTTACAATTAGCCGATAGGCCTATTAAAATCCCACAAAGGTAAGGTAAAGGATGTTCCCTTAAGGGCAGGGAAGTTTGTGATCCCGGTGGATTTTTTGTGCTTGATATGGACGAATATTCCAATATTCCCATCATTCTTGGTAGACCCTTCCTTGCAACATCGGGAGCTATGATTGATGTCAAGAGTGCTAAAATTTCTCTAAAGGTGGGGGAAGAAGAGATTGAGTTTGATATGAATGAGAGTATAAAATACCCTTCTTCTTTAGAGACTTGTATGAGAATCAAAATTTTAGATGACATTCTGAATTCCATGCAAATGCACTTGCTCGCCTCTAATGATCCTCTTGAGTGTGTTTTGTTGAACAAAGAAAAGATAGGTGATCATGGCAAAGAAATGAATTTCCTTGAAAGAGTCATTGATGAAAGCTTGGAAGGAAGTGATGAAAAAAATGTGCATGAAGTTCTCAAGCCAAGAAGCTTTGCAAGAGGCCTCAACCAAGGAAGGTAAAGGTGTTCCAACGGTAGAGCTCTGTAGGCGTCGTTCGAAGTGCGCCTACGTAAAAGCATGTTGTGAATATGCTTGGCACTCATATAAAGTGGGAATTGACATTACGATTAGGGACAAAGCAAAGTAGGGAGCCGCCAACAAGTTTTTAAGGAACTTGTAAACCGTTCACGGATCATAAAAGGCAACCACGATTAAGGGACCCGTGAAGGTTACACCCCATTCATAATCTATGAGATTACTAACTCCATATGGTTCGGAACCATGAAATGACGATCGGGGATGATGGTACGAAGTGTGTCATGGAGTAACATTCGCCCGTATTAGCCTCTACTCGATTATTATAGTGAAAAATTATTCCTGCGATCTCAAAGGCATACAAACAAAATATTCAATTTGCTCTAAACTATTATTAAGATAAATTGGTTTAATATTAATGCAACATATTATTCTAAAATATTAATGATCACTTCGATTAATAACAAGATTAAAAAGGAACCTAAACCGGTTGTCCAAATCATCTTATTAGGCGTGATTTTCAATTACATATTACTTTTAACATGCAATATGGTGATTAATAAATATAATAAAATAAACATCAATATTGGAAGCAATTCAACAATAATAGTGTTAGTAAATCAAATATAAAATAACCTAATCATGATACTAGCAATAAGAAATTAAAATAAGAGTAATTAAATTAATTAGTTACTCACATTCCGCGCGTTCCTTTAAATTGCTACATCATGAATAAATTGTTAGTAATTTCAATAAAAAATATAAATCAAATGGAAATTAAATTAAATAAATGTAGACTTTATTTGGTCCAAACCCTTAGTTATTGGTACCTTTCACGCCTTGGTTTAAGGACGGAACCTCGGGTGTTGTATGGACTCCTTGGAGTGCTTAGGGGAAGAATGATGTAATTAGGAACATAGGTTTGAGGCTTAGAATATGAGAGAAAGAAAAGAGAATGATTTTTGGTGTAAAAGAGAGAAAGAGAGAAGGATTTGATGTCCCGAACTGCAGAAAGGAGGGGGGTATTTATAAGGAAAATTAGTAGAGGGAACACAAGGAACCCTAAAACCATAAAAAAAAACACTAAAAATTAACACCGCGACACGACAGAGAACACCGCGACACGACAGAGAACACCGTGACACGATGCCAGTCACCTTCAGACGGGGGAAGGCACCGTCAGACGGGGGAAAATCCCATGATGCGGGGAAAATCGGAGTGACGCGGGACATATTTGACCTACAGGAAGTGAAAGCGCGTGAAGGGTTTACGCGGAAAAGACACGAGAAAATTCCCGACACGACCCACGTACCGTGACATGACAGTGTCCACCGTGGCACGGTACATTACACCGTGTCACGATATAAGACAACGCGGAAATTACACGGAAAAGGCACCGTGACACGGTGAGAAATACCGTCACGGCAGCAGGTACCATATTACGGAAACAGGTACCGTGTCACGGCGATAAGTACCATGCCACGATGGAATTTGACGCAAAAAAAGCTTTAAAAATAGCACCGTGACACGATGTAAAGTACTGTGTCATGGCACCAGGCACCGTGCCACGTCATCAAGCGCCGTGACACGGTGCTTTTGCATTGTGCGCGGTAATTCCAGTTTTATACCCGTTTTTAAAATTGTGATAACTTTTGATCCGTAACTTGGAATAAGACATAAAATATATCATTAGAAAGCTTATCAAGTCTATTTTCAAATAAAATTATAATCATGTAAAATTATTTATAGATTTTAAGATATGGTCGTTTTAGTGGAAGGGTGTTGGTTTTGGGCCGAGTTTAGTGTTTGGCTCATATCTTCTTCGTTATAGCTCGGAATTGGGCTTATGATATATGGTTCGAAATCTTATTTCAAGGCCTATAAAACCAAATAATAATTGGATCAAAATTATATATCCATAAAATTAGTTCAGCTCGATTTTGTGATGTGGATACGAAAAGTGGAAAATATGTTATGGTTTAGGGAAATGAGCTAGAAATTGGATTGGTTTATGAAATATATTGGATAGAACATGCATTTAAGAACTCCAAATATTAAATACTCAACCCGACCAATAATAGCAGTGAAAGGTGTTCATCATCGGGTTTGGTTTTGGGGAGACATTTTTAGGTGTCTACAAAAGCCCCCACTTTGATTGAGTTTGTAGAAACATCAGTTTAAAAAATGATAGTCAAAGTAATCGATAGAGACGGAGAATGATTTAAGATGTTCTGCGATCCTAAATCACTCTGTATACGCCGATACTTGCAGAAAAACGTTAGTTCTACAGATAAAAGAGTAAAGGGATAGAATGCTTATCTGACACTAGTTTATCGGTGACAAATGAGTTTGGTAGCTTCCTATGCTTGAAGGAATACACTGGATGACGTTTGTTGAAATGCTTTCCATGCCCAAGGAAAGCCTATTGACGAGTTTGATAGCTTTCTATGCTTGAAGAAATCTACCAGATGATACTTTTCATGCTTAATTAAGGAAAGTCGACATATGAATTTGGCAGTTTTCTATGCTTGAAGAAATCCACCGGATAATACTTTCCATGCTCGAGGAAAGTCGACAGATGATGAGATTGCAAGTCTCTGTGTATCAAGAACCTTGCGTCCTGAAATGATAGTGGTTCGATTGTCCCCGAACGTGGACTGTAGATGGTCCACTTGTCCCCGAACGTGGGATGTAATTGGTTTGCTTATCCCCGAACGTGGGTTGTAAAATGTTTTCTTGTTCCCGAACGTGGGCTGTAGATGGTCCACTTGTTCCCGGACGTGGGTTGTAGAAGGTTCGCTTGTCCTTGAACGTGGGCTGTAAATGGTTCGCTTGTCCCCGAACGTGGACTGTAGATGGTCCGCTTGTCCCCGGACGTAGGCTGTAAATGGTCCGCTTGTCCCCGGACGTGGGCTATAGATGGTCCGCTTGTCCCCGGACGTAGGCTTTAGCTGGTTCGCTTGTCCCCGAACGTGGGCTGTAAATGGTCCGCTTGTCCCAGAATGTGGGCTATCGATGGTCTGCTTGTCCTCGGACGTGGGCTGTAATTGATACCTGCAAAATAAAATTTGCCAAGGGACTCGTATAGACTATGATTGACTTGACCAACTAACTTGACCAAGTTTGTCTTGACACGACATGACATGACATGAGTATGACTTGTGATTGTGTGTGTATAGTTTGAGTGTGTGTGCACAAACACAAGCAATCGAAAATGAAAAAGCAAAAAATTCCGTCATTTTTGTCATGAGATGAGTGGAGGGTACCGACTTTCTCCCGAAAAAGAAAGATGTGAAAAAAAAGTTTTATTTTCGAACTTCCCTCGATGAGAAAATTTTTAAAACGTTTTTTAATTTCCTTAAAAGAAAAGTTATGAGAAAGGGAAAGAGTTTTGAACTTTTTCGTTGAGCAAGACGAAATGAATCGCATGGATTAATTTGCTTGTCTTGAAAATAATTTATGCATGATGCATGTTCTTAGGCCAGGAGGATAAGGACAATCACATCATGTGACACGATAGATGAATGAACTTAGATCATGGAGCTAAGCATCATATATGGTGTAAAGAAACGATCTTGAACGTCACTTAGGTCTTGAAGCTAAGCACGTATATAGATGAAGTGATTATTGCATAATGAACGTTGCTTAGGTCAAGGAGCTAAGAACGATATGCTTTTTATGATTACAAATCATTGATATATAAATGTTTCTCAGCACATTATGCGATGCATGAAACAATGAACATTGCTCATGTCAGGAAGCTAAGCAAGTATACAATGTTTCTTTTAATGAATGTTGTCTTGAAAGATGATGAAGCATGCACAGTGTTGAAACAAGATTTCATGATAATGGGCTCTTAAAGGAAAGGATGATTGATATGGATATGGATGTGTGAGTGAAGTGTGTGAATGTGATACTAAGGCTGGTTGCAAGGGTTATGGTGATGGAAATATATATGAGAAGAGCCAAAGATGATGACTCTTTAGGCTTGAGTAGGCTAAATGATGTGGGTTCAAGCCCCCAAGTCTAGCTCTAAATGGGTATGGGTAAGCATTGGATATTCTTTGACTCGATCAAGCATATGAATGTGAATATGAATGTGGTCGCACCTCGATGTGAGGTTGCCTACGTATCCGTTAGGAATCAGGCCGAACGTATCTCTAGCCGAACTTTGCACAAGTGTATGTACACCTCAAAGAGGTCTTTCAAGGGTTGTAATATGGTTAAGTTGATGGTTTAAAGAAGAAAAGGGTACAAGGCTCAAGACCCGAGAGAATCCCCAAGATGTGTAATTGTGAATTTGAAAATTTTGAATTTTGCAAGTTTATTTTCATTTTTTTTTTGAACTTCATTTTTTTTATTCTTTTTAATCAATGTAGGCAATCTCAGATCATGCGGTCCATCACTCACTTAGCATCCATGTTTCTCAGGCTTGGTAACAAGCACTCGATGAGAGACGCAATTTGAGACGTGTTCATATCAAAGACATTGGAACACTTGCCTTTAGACATTGTTTTATTGTTTCTTTGCTGCGTTTTTTTTACTTGATTTTTGAATGTTATACAATTACACATCTTCCAATCCCAGGGTTAAGTGAATGTGGGTTGAAGAAATGAAGGTCAAACGTTAGACGAGGCTCAAAGTGGTTGATGAAGAAATGGAATGTGATTGAACGGTTAACAGGGAATGACAGGGTTACAAAGGTGCCTCAAGTCATTGGTGTACCTTGTATTAAACTTGGTAATTGTTTTTTATTTTTTAATTAGTGAATGAAAAATGCTATGATCGAGATGTAAAGGAAATTTGCTCATTTTATTAATGGAAAAGGTGAACGAAACACATGAAACATATAAAAATTTGAAATGGAAAATCTATGCTAGACATGAATGGGGGAATGGAGATGAATGATTAAAAAGAAATCATGAAATCTTGCACAAAGGATCTGTTGTGCACCTTGTGTTCATTACTTCTTGCCGCCTGGAGGG